ATTTAATGCACAGATTCTGATTGTCACAAGTCTGAAAGGCTCTTTCCCATCGTGCCATTCACAGTGAGGAGAAACCACTGAAGACTCAAGTATGATTAAGATGCCAGTCACACATAGTGCCTTATGGCAGTGCCCAGCTTCAGCCCACATTTCAGCTTGAAGGAACATTAAACTAATGTACCCATCACTGAAACAAAGCTGGACGATTACAGCAGAGGATGCACCACTGGCATTGCATTGACATTACACTTTGTGCTGCTGGAAAAACTTGTGGCCAGACAATCAGAGTGAATTTGGATGTTAAATTAGGGGCCACCATACCACAAGATAGCAGCAAAAAGCTACCTCTTAAACTACTCCAAGGATGCAAAGTTCCTTCATTAGTCTTCAAAGGGCAAAATCCCATATTCTTCATTAAAACTTGCAGATACAACAGCCATTGTCTTCTGTCCCACCCACTAAGCCCCCAGACTAATGAATGATGGCTTTTTTTATTAATCTTTCTGACACAGTTCCCTGTCACATGGTCCCCTCTACACCCATCACACTGAGTAACTAGTGATAAAATTGCCTGCCTGATCAGAAAGTCTGCTTTAAAAAGATAAGGGCTTACACAGCTCTCCTATTGTTTAGGCATTTCCCCACAAACTCTCCAGAGCAGCCCAAATTCACACATCACTGATCAGCTGATGACAGAAATAGGGGCAGTTTATTAATGCTCTCTGATCAAGCGCATAGCTTTTTCCACTCAGGCTACAGGCAGATACTTTTAGCTTTCCAGGTCCCTAGTTCAATCCCTGGATGTCAGCCACGACACAGACCAAATAGTTAAAACAACAACTGAACAGTCTCCAGCCATCAAGATGGTCAGAATAAAGAATATACAGTGTTTGCCATGCTGGGTGATAGGAGTTCTAACAGAAGCTCATGTTGCCCCGGTGCAGGGACTAACATGTTCTCAGTTTATCATCCCTTAAAAGCAGTCACATTACAAATATACCTGACGGAACTGTTGCATTTAAAACCAAAATCTTTCTTTCTCTCTCTGTATATATATTTATGATGAAACTCATGATCATTTAGAGAAAGCCCAGCAGATACAGGCTAGCTCTTGTATAATCCATAATAACCTATAATGAATGACTAAAAGCACCATTGTCCTGCAAATAAATTAATTTGGGTCCGTAAGATTTTCGGGCTTTTATGACTTGATTACACACAGAATCTGCCAAGGACCTGCAGCATTTTGGCACACTTCAGTTACACACAATCCTTATTCACTCACTGACGTTTGAGAATGGAGTTTCAAGTGGACAGTTGTTCTCAAGCCTATACATCGCTGACACACTGAATTTACTGCTTTATACAGCCTGAGAAGGAGAAAACAGCCTTCACTTGGACAAGTGCAGGCAAGCCAGGGAAGCTCAAACTCATGGGTCAGAAGAAAAAAAGAAAAGAAAGCCAATAAAGCGATACAATAGAGCGAGCACAGGACAGGGGAGCAGCAAGCAGCTGATCCAGCTCACACATTCATCCTGTTCCAAGCTGCAAATCAAAGAACCATCTAGTATATATTTTAGGGACCTTCTAGTGAAACACTGTTAATAACACAAAACCCTGTCAAAGCAGAACAGACTGGCTCACACAGAGCACGTTGTACACTCCACAGAAAGGTGAATCCTACACCGAGAGAATGTGTGCAGTTATGCAATGCATGGGGAGAAGCTCTACTCCGGCTCCACCCCGAGACCAGCTCACACCTGAAGCAAGGAGTATCTCGACCCTGTCATTTTAGCCCACACGCTGCAGTTGTGCATTCTGCTCCCATTACGCACCCAGAGCGACTTGAGTCATCGCCACGCTTAGGGACTTCTTGGTGACATGCGAATTCCAGGGTGGAGTGAGCAGCTCTGCCAGGGTTCTGCACTACAATCAATTACCTTCGTATCAGGAATTCCTCTGTGTGAGGCCAGCGGTTGACTTGAAGGGGAAAGGGGCTCATCTCCTGCTTCAGGAGACAGCGAGCTCCAGTTGGGTAAGGAGAGTGAACAAAAACGCCAGGCTACAACCTAGGGCCAGGAGCAAGTGTAAAGAGATGGTCAGCTAAGCTCCCCCTCACCACCACGCTCTGAGCCTCCTGCAAGCCTGAAGAACTGAAGCAAGCGAAGAACACATAGTTGGCACAGAAAGTGGTGAAACTGGTTAATATGTTTGGGCCATATTAACTTCATTTATCAATAGCTTCGCGGAGGTCGCTGATCCCTCCTCCCGCACACAGTGACAAATCGTAGCCTGTCTCCTCAAGCACTAAGTGTTCAGGCCCACTAATACCCTCCATGTTTATCAGCTTTTTCCTGCCCTGGGCCGGAGAGGACACGGTAACCCCAGCAGCCTGCCAGGGCCCGGCTGACACGGCCGCAAGCAGCACCCTTCGCCTGCCCCACACCCTGCTCTCCCCTCCCGCACACCGAGACCGCTGTCGGCAGCCACACAACGGGAAGAGGACGAGCGAGAGCAGGGCTGCGCCAACACGGACCCCCGAGCACGGGGGTGCAGCCCCCGAGCCTGGGCCCCAGCGAGGCCCCTTCCCCCAGGGGTCCTAGGAAGCCGCTTTACCCCCCTCCGCCACAGCGCTGCCAGCGCCCGCGGCTCCGGTTTCAGAGTGGGAAGCGGCTCAACACGGCTCCGGCACAAAGGGGCCCCTGTCCCCGCCGCGGAGCGGAGGCGCTGGCCCCAGCGGGAGCGGAGGAGTCTCCGCAGCCCCCAGCACCCGGTGAAGGGCAGGCTGGCGGCCGGCCTGCGAGGGGCGCGGAGGGACCAGAGCTGTGCGGGGAGCTCCCCGCAGCCCCCCGCCAACAACCTGCCCGGCACCGCGCACCCGCCGCCGCTCCCCGCGCCTACCCCGGGTCTCCGCTCCGTGTCACTCCGAGCCGCCTCCCGGTCCCCTTCTGCCCACAGGCAGCGCCCGCCGGGCACCGCCTCCCCCCGTCCGCCCCCTTTCCATGAGGAAACTTTTCCCTCGCAGCTGCCAGCGCCTCCCGAGCCGCGCTGCCCTCCGCCGGACCGGGCCGGGCTGTGCCGTACCGCCGGGACCCCCGGCACCCCACGGGGAACAGGTCCCAAAGGCGCCCCAGCAGCAGCAGAGGTGACCCCGCCGCTTACCTCACAGGCAGCGCGGCTCCACACGGCGGGACGCCCGGCGGCCAGCGGGCACCTGAGCAGAGAGCGGCCCGGGCCCTCCCCCTATTTCAGCCGCGGGACACGGGGGCTCCCGCCCCGCCTCCAGCGGCTGCCGGCGGGGCGGGTCCGGCTCCAGCGAGGGCTCCCACCCGCCTCCGCCGCGCTCCTGATCCAATTAACGGGCGGCCGCCGCGCTCTGCCCGGGCAGGTGGGGCCGAGGGGGCGGCCGGGAGGGCAACGGCGGCGGCCGGCGCGGTTACCCCGCCACGGGCAAGGCCGGGGGGCGGCCCTGAGGAGCGGCCTGGGGCCTGGGGACTGGGGACTGGGGAGCTCTGCCCGGCATGGCGGGCACCGGGAGGAGGAGGAGGGCGGCCCTAAGAGCTGCCCGCCCGGGCAGGAGTTGGGCTCTTGCCTGTGCTGCCAGCCCAGTGACCCAGGGCTTCAGTTAGTTTGTAGTGTGTTAGCTCGTGTGCTCACACTTAGCGCCCGGAGCCTGCGGGCTGTGCTGGAGCAGGAGGCCCAGAGGGCTCCCCAAGCCCCGCTCACACTTAGCGCCCGGAGCCTGCGGGGTGTGCTGGAGCAGGAGGCCCAGAGGGCCCCCCAAGCCCCGCTCACACCCAAGCGGAAGATGTGCCGTTGCAGCTGAGCCTAGCGTTGGTCACTTCGGGGGCTGCTAGAGCAGCTTCACCTCGGATCCGTTTGGCATCTTCCTCTTTCATCCCAACCACAGAATAGTTAGGGTTGGAAAGGACCTTAAGATACCTAGTTCCCTGCTAACTCTGCCTTTCCTCTGGAAACCTCCATCTGAATAACCCAGACCTCATCTTTACGCCCTCGGAGTCTCTCCGTTAAACCCATCTTCTTCTAAATGCCATGGAGTTTTCCTGCCAGAGTTTCCATTTCCAGCGCCAGCTCCCAGTGCAATTCCCCATGATGCTGGGCCAGGGCTTGCAAGAGGAGTGGCTGGGAGGCCTCATTGGCCTGTCTCCTCCTGACTGCTTCCAAGTGACTTGGGACACAACTCTAAGGACCAGCTGCGTGTTTGCAGTGATGTTTATTCCAGTGGTGGAGAAAGGAAAGTCTGAGGGCCTTGCAGGAGAAAGAGAGGAAAGAACATGCCGTAAATCCGTGCTGCTCCTCTGGAGCAGTACTGGAATGTTTTCTCTCTCTTTACAATTGTCTCAGGTTTCATAGGAACCAGAAAAATACCTGTACTGATGCCATTCAGATAGGATGAACTGCTGGGTTGGAAAGTGGACATTAGAAACCATTCCATTTAATTTCAGGCCAATCCTCTCCTCACTTTTACCAGTTTGGGGTCCCTGGAAGGTGGGCACCCATAAAAGGTCACTGGCTGTGGTGTGACCATAAGCATCCTTCCAAAAGTGATGCAAGATGCTTATCCTCAAGAGTTAATCATAGTTGAAAGTATATATATAGCCTCAACTTTGTATTTTAATAAAGCAAAACCAAACCCAACTCTTTGGCATAGATATTCCCTAATTCAATTAAATTCTGAGATGCTAATTCCATTATTAAATTAATGTTTGTTAATGGTCATGGGATAGGAGGAGGTCAGCATAATTTCTACTCTTTTATCTCTTTAGGATTCTGTCATTTATCCCACTTTTCAGTGGAATAGAGGCTTGTTTTCATACATACACTAAACTCTAGTTGCTGTATTGGTACTCTTGACATCAGTAGTCAGACTAAAGTAGCCAAAATATTAATGCTTTGGACAAAGATCCTGGCAACGAGGAGGTGGAATAACTAATGGCATTACAAATACCATGAGGTTCACGTTCTCAGTCACAATATAGCTTTACCAGACCCAGTGACAAGACAGCTTTGTCCGGCAGTAGAGAACCACGTCCCATAACTGAGGCAGAGTCTCACCGTAACTGTACATCAGATAAAAGGCATCACAAAAATAAGCCTGATATCCTGCTCACACATAATTATACTCTGACTTTGATGCACATTGTAATTTGAAGAGTGTGAGACTCTAAATACACATAGGAATATTTCTTTATATCTGTCTCTGGCTTGTTCAGTGTGGTGACTCTGAGCTGTGGCACCCCACCTGGTGGCACATTTTGTGGGTGAATTGGGTGCTATCTGCTATTCTTGTCCTTAGTGAATAATGGTTACAGAAATAGCTGGTGATTCCCTGGAGAGAAAGCAAACTTGGTGTTAGTAATTGATAAAATTACTGTAGTTAGCTTTGTCTTTACTGCTGGTGTGGCTTCACCTGGAAGACTCTGTGCAGTTCTGAGCCCCACAGTTTAAGAAGGATGTGAAGGTCCTTGAATATGTTGAGAGTTTGACCATACACTGGAACAGGCTTCCTATAGAGGTGGTCAATACCCCAAGCCTGTCAGTGTTTTAACAGGCATTTAGACAATGAATTAATACCATGCATTAGCTTTTGATCAGGCCTAAATTGGTCAGATGATCATTGTAAGTCCTTTCCAACTGAAATATTCTAGTGTTCTACTCTATTCTATTCCATTCCATTCCAGAAAAAGCTAACCATGATAGCTTGGAAAGGGAAACATGTAAGTTACTGTATGTGTGCTTTTAATGGGGACACTTCTGCTGGAGACAAAGGAGCAGGGTCAGGAAAGTGCACATCTTTCATGGAGATAACTTGTCAGTTAACAGTATCAGAGTTTTCTCTGGGATTCATACATAGAACATTGAAATCAATTACAAGTCTTTCAGTCCAGTTTTAAGAAGGATGGTATCTGAGCCCCTTTTCTCATAGTAACATAGAATGGTTTGGATTGAAGGGACCTTAAAGCTCATCCAGTTCCAGCCCCCTGCCATAGGCAGGGACACCTTCCACTAGAGCAGGTTACTCCAAGCCCTGTCCAACCTGGCCTTGAACACTGCCAGGAATGGGGCAGCCACAGCTTCCCTGGGCACCCTGTGCCAATTTCTCACCACCCTCACAGAGAAGAATTTATTCCTAATGTCTAATCTAAATCTTTGCTCTTTTCAGATATAAATTTTGAAATTTGTAACTGAAATTTTAAAGCATACTCAGATTTATTCAATTTTGTTGACGATTCTTGATGAATTCCACAGGTTCTGTCTCCAGTGTTGATGAGTTCTGCAGATGAAACTGTTGGTCACTGTCAAAATAAGAACAATCTTTTTCTGTAGTAGTTTCCTTTCCTGGAAATCCCAGAATCACAGAATATCGGGTAGGAAGGAACCTCAAGGATCACCTGGTCCAACCTTTCTAGGCAGAGCATGACCTAGACTGGATGATCCAGCACCTTGTCCAGCTGAGTATTACAGGTGTCCAATGCCGGGAAATCCACCCCTTCCCTGGGGAAATTATTCCAATGGTTGGTTGTTCTTTTGGTGAAAATTGTTCTGAAATCAAGCCTTTGAGGCTTTGGAGGAAGGAGGGAAGTACCACTTCCACTTATTCCTTTTGCTAATGGGTACAGTTCTAAGGAGAATGTTATGTATTACACAAGTGCTTGGCAAGACTTTCAGATTTACTAACCAGGTTGGCATATATGTTCAAAAATGACTGCATTGCCTGTCAGTGGTTATCATTTTCATGTACATCATTCTGATGCTTATTATTAGGGTGGCAGCAACTAATACAACCTTGTTACAGTTCAGGATAAAAGCATAGTCTTAGTCTTTGTTTTTCTTAATAGTGTTTCTATGCATTTCCTAATGTGTGAGAAAAGGCATAGGCAACTATACTTATAGTGAAAAAACCCCAACACCCAAACCCTAAAGCCCCACAATTCAAGGAGTGGTTACGGACAGATATTTTAGGACCAGTGTTCATAGCCAGCTGTGTTCATGACTCACCGAACCCCACTGCTCCACAGAAACAGTTCCCCTGGTAGCATGGCCAGCAGACAGCAGCTTCCTTCACAGGTGAAGGGGAAGTGCCAGTACCTCCAGCTGCATTGGTGAGGCTCCTCCTTCCCCATTCTTGTCTGCTTCATCACATAAGATCTGGTAGGCTCTGAGCGGATCTTGCTGTGACTTTTTTATCTGTCTGTAAAGGGCGCTTTTATTGTGCGTTGAGTTCCAACACCAGCTGCATCTTCTTGTGGAAGCTGTTTTGAAATAGGATTGGTTTTTGGTTGCTGTTTGGTTGATGCACCTGTGATCACACAGTGGTTTGGGTTGGAAAGGACCTTAAAGCTCATCCAGTTCCAACCCCCCTGCCACTTTCAGGGACACCTTCCACTAGAGCAGGTTGCTCCAAGCCCCCTCCAACCTGGCCTTGAGCACTGCCAGGGATGGGGCAGCCACAGTTTCTCTGGGCACCCTGTGCCAGTGCCTCAGCACCCTCACAGGGAAGAACTTGTTCCTTGTATCTAACCTAAATCTCTCCTGTTTAAGTTTTAACTCGTTACCCCTTGTCCTATCACTACAGTCCCTAATGAAGAGTCCGTCCTCAGCATCCCTATAGGCCCCCTTCAGATACTGGAAGGCTGCTATGAGGTTTCCACGCAGCCTTCTCCAGGCTGAACAGCCCCAACTTTCTCAGCCTATCTTCATGCAGGAGGTGCTCCAGCCCCTGATCACCCTCGTGGCCTCCTCTGGGCTTGTTCCAACAGTTCCATGTCCTTTTTATGTTGAGGACACCAGAACTGCAACAATACTCCAAGTGAGGTCTCACGAGAGCAGAATAAAGGGGCAGGATCACCTCCTTCGACCTGCTGGTCACGCTCCTTTTGATGCAGCCCAGGATACGGTGTCAGTTATGTTGATTACTGTGGTTGATGTGCCAGTTTGGTGCTCTGGAAGCTAATATACACCAACAGCAAGCTGCAAAGCACAGCCCCCGGACTCTGCCTGCGTGGTCTGGGCCAGGCCCCAGGCGCAGCGGACAGGCCGGCAAGGGTAAGGGCGGTGGGGGGAGGCACGGGCTGGGGCAGCCACCGCGGGCCCGGCTCCCCGGCCCTCCCCCTGCCGAGGCCGCTGCCCCTCAGCGGCGGAGGGTCGGCGGGTGCCGTGCGGGGCCGCCATGGCCGCAGCGTGCGGCCTGCTCCCGCGGAGCCCTCGGGCTCAGCGCCGCTGCCCAGGGGCGGGGGAGCCCTTCCCGCGGGGCCGCTGCCCTCCCTTCCCGCCCCGGTTATGAAACGGCGGGGGAGGGGCCGGCTGCCGCCTGCCGTGCTCGGCCTGGCCGGGGGAGCGGAGGCCGCCGCAGCGCAGGTGAGAGCGGGGCGGCCGTTCCCGCACAGGCCGCGGGGGAGCCGGGCCCTGAGGGGCGGCTCGGCGGGGCCGGGGAGGCCGGAGGCTCGGGGCAGGCGCTGTGAGGGAAGCTGGAGCTGTGTTTAACACGGGCGGACAGCCGTGGCAGCCATGCACGAACCGTCGCTAAGTTTGGCTGCCCGGCGCTCTTGGCGGAGGATCCTGTGGGGGTCCCAGCTCCGGGAGGGCTGTGGGAGCCCCTCACCTCTCCTCAGGGGCTCGGTGGGTGTTTGGTTGTCACAACAGGACACGAGTCGGAAGAGCACTTCAGGGTGGTTGCCAGCCGGGGTGGGAGCCCGGGCCAAGGTGGTGGCAGTGAGGAAGTGGTGTTGATAAATAGGAGGTACGTTCTGAGGGTGTTTTGTGCAAGACAAGTCAGCCCTGGCCATCGTCGTAAAAGCTCTGACCTTTTCCTTAGCTGAATCTAAAGGGCTCAGTGTGAGCTAGTACAGAAACAGTTAGGGTATTATGTGGTTTCACAGATGTACTTTATGCAGATCTGTGGGTTTCAAGCTTAAAACTTCGGTGGAAGCACATCTGTCAAAACATATTCTGATGCTTTAGGATGCGTTCATTTTCATATGTGAACAAAGAAGAGTTTATTGAACCTGTTCCCTCTCCAGCAGAGCACAACAAAAAGCTAGTGTCGTGCTGATGAAAGAGGATGCAGGTATAATCACTACTTTCAGGCCACTGGGGTAGTTTCATTCCAGTTTTCCTCTCTGTTCTCTATTTAAGTGTTTCACAGTCTTACCTTCCATGCTTTGTTTGCTTTTAGTGGTCAGACAGAATGGCTCCAGTGAACCAAGCAAAGGACAAGAAGAAGGAGAAGGCACATGAGCGTTGGCTGGAAGAGGCAAAATCAGCTGGGAAGAGGAAACAGGACTGCAAGGAACTAGGGAATGAGCCACTAGCAAAGAAGTTGTTTGTGAGAAAAACATCCAAACCCCCAGAGAAAACTGGTAATGTTTCCTTAGATCCTTACTGTTTCTTCCAACCAGATTTACCCTAAATGACAGGCATTGACTGGTTGAAGAGGGAGAATGCCAAGAAGCGTGTTCAGGCATGGGTGTTCACACGGGGTTATATATCAAAGTGATACATAGACAGATAGTGAGGTAGTACATCCCCAGTTACCTGTCTGGTGGGTTTGTGTGTGTGTGCATGGACGCATGTTTCATTTTTGAGACTCTCTGCCCTTTGGTAGAAGCCTGAAGATGCTGTCAGAGCTCGTTTGAGGGGGGGTTAGATTTTATGTAATTCCTGAACTACCAGATGTCTGCTTTATCATAGGGCAGACCAGTCTTGGTAATACATTGCTTTTTCTCCCATTCAGTTCATGCAGCTCCGTAGTCATAAGGTTGGTATCTTACAGCATGCAGCCTAAACTGGTGTTTCTTTGCATATTCTAACTTCTGCTGCAGTAAGTAGGAATATTTCCTACCTCTGTGTTCAGATTAGGCTGGACGCAGTTTCCACTAATCATGTCTCATGTGCGTTTTATTCCTTTAGGAGGAGAGGTGATTAAGTTCTAAGGTACTGGAAAGGTTAATGCTTTGCATTATGAAGACATTATGTAGGCTTCAGCTCAGTAAGGGCTATTTTTGTAGAATCATAGAATCATTTAGGTTGGAAAAGGCCCGTAAGGTCATGGTGAGTCCAGTTAACCTAGCATGGAGTCCGTTAACCTGGCCAAGTCCACCACTAAACCATGTCCCTAACTGCACATCTGCGTGTCCTTTAATTCCTCCATGGATGGTGACTCAACCACCGCCCTGGGCAGCCTGTTCCAGTACTTGACCACTGTTTCAGTGCAGAATTTTTTCCTGATATCCAACCTAAATCTCCCCTGGCATAACTTGGGGCTGTTTCCTCCTGTCTTAACACTTGTTATTTGGGAGAAGAGAGCAACCCTCACCTCACTACAACATCCTTTCCGGTAGTTATGGAGAATTATACGGTCCCCTTGAGACTCCTTGTTTTTATCAGATAGAACCTTTAATTCCAGTGTTTGTTTAGGAGATCCTTGGAGGTTCTGCCTTGTGTGGAAATCCCACATGCTGTCTGTACAATTTTGGCCTAAAGGATCCAGAAATTACAGTCAGATAGAAGAGTTCTATAATTTTTACTGTTTTCATTGTCTGGTGTATGACTCCAGATCTGGAGCAGTCAGCAGTGTGAGGAATGGATGTGGAGGCTAAATACTGTTTGCAAGGAGTTCTGTGAATAATTGTGAATAGTTAAAGCATCTTCTGTAGTTAATTTAGCTGCATGACTTTCATTGGAACTTCGTGGCCTGATCTTCAGTTCTGGTAAGCATCTGCAGTTCTGTAAGAGTCAGAGGGAACTGGCTATAGGTAGTACTTGGAAAAATGAGGGAAATCATATCTTTCCTTAAACCTTCTTTAAAAGATAATGACCTTTCTATCTGAGCTTTTCCTATTCCGTGTCCCTGGTTAGATTTTTATGTGTTTTGCAAAACCAACTTTTTTCCTCCTTGACCATATAGGACAGGTTTCCTGCAGCTGAAACACCTTTTTAAAGGGTTTCTTCCAGCAGATTCTAAAAAGGCCTAAAGTTTGTTTCTCAATAAAGTATCCTTCAAAGTATAAAGGAATTTGGAAAAAATACATTGATTTCTGTGGATGCTAATTCTTCTGTGGGGAAAGAAAAAAGGAATTAGAATATAAATACTTCTGTATCTGTTTCAACAAGTGTGACAAATGTTGGCGCTATGTTGGCATGTAAACAGAGAAGTTTAGCTTCATACCTGTTCATTTCTAGGCTCCAGTGTTGCATTAAAGATTTCGTTTAAGTTCTAATATAGAATGGTCCCTATGGTTTTGTTTTAAATAAATATCCATCAATGAAAATAACAGTTTTATTTCTTAAGCAATGCATTTATCAGCCAGATCCCCTGGGGTGTTACGGACCATTGCCATGGGGGTGATTAGATCACAGGCACGAGACTAAACAGATCCGGGGTTTATGTAAAAGTCCCCGAAGATAAAAAAACTTGGAACATGGACAAAATGCAAAAGCATGATGTACTCTCAGCAAAAATCACTCCAAACAGAAAGGTTTTCAGGCAGCGAGGAGTCAGCAGGTCTGTTATCAAACCCAAAACTCCACACTGACAGGATACAGCACAAGCAGATGGAACATTCTGATTGACAAGGAGGTTTCAGGAACAGTGTGGGAAGTCATGTTGCTGTGCTTGGGGAATTTTCAGGTTTTCTGCTGGTCACACATCTGCTCTTCCCTTTGCTCTGCCCAGGGACTTAACCACCTCCCATGGCACATTTCCAAGTTGTTAGGGCTTTGGATAACGTCACTGTGTTTTGAAGGGAGGTTTAACAAGAGAAAGCACACACAAATCTCTGGCAGGCTGTGGGACTCTATACTTGCAGAGGCTGCTGCATCTTGTACATGTAAGAATCATTTAGAGACTTCTGTGGCTGAAACTTTTGATGGGTGTATCAGCAAATGCAGATGTCTTCCCATGTTGTTTAGTGAATGAGCATCACAGGCTGCTCTCAGTAAGTTTTACTCTTTTCCTTTCTGGCAGGTTGGAGTAGAGGCGGATCCTTGATGAGAAACAACAGAGTCCTTTTCCATCAGCTGGAGCGGCAGTGCAGCATTGTTCATTATGTGTACCAGAACATGCTGGGAGGCTCCATTCGGGCACAGCTCAGACAGGTGAGGAGCTTCTCCTTCATGACCTCTTGGACATGTGCTGTGGGTTGATTTTGGCTGGAGGCTAGGTGCCCACTCCTGAACTGGACAGGGGAGAGAAAATACAATGAAAGGCTTGTGTGGGTTGAGATAAGGACTGCAGGAGATCACTCAGCACTTACCATCATGGGCAAAACAGGCTGAGCCTGGGGAAATCAGCTTAATTTATTACCAATCAAATCATAGTAGGGTTATGAGTAGGGCACTGGAATGGGTTGCTCAGGGAAGT